TTTTTTTTTTTTTAACGTTTATTATTTTTGGGACAGAGAGAGACAGAGCATGAACGGGGGAGGGGCAGAGAGAGAGGGAGACACAGAATCGGAAACAGGCTCCAGGCTCCGAGCCATCAGCCCAGAGCCTGACGCGGGGCTCGAACTCACGGAGCGCGAGATCGTGACCTGGCTGAAGTCGGACGCTTAACCGACTGCGCCACCCAGGCGCCCAAATCTAAGTTTAAATAAAAGAATTTAATGTCTACTTAATCTGAACTATTTTGATACTTGCTTTGGAAATATATTTTTAAGGTAAGTTAAGATTCAGAAATGTGTGTGAAAAGTACATTCAGTTTAGAAGTCATACTTTTTTTGAGGCTGTTTATGTCATCTTTTGGTAACTATCCAAGGTTAAAAGAGGAAGTAGATTATATTTTATTAAGGGTAATAAAATTAATACAGTATAGGATTTTAGGTGGCTAAAGATCTATTTTAAAGGAGTTAAACAGAAGATAAAGGTTAGCTCTCAAGATGTGATCTAGAATTGGTTAGTTTTGAATTAAAGGGAAAGAAATTTCTTTTAATCTTGTAAACTGAGTAGACATACCCATGTAATACCTGAGGAGTATTAATGTGAAACTTAAAAGTTAAATGTTAAACTTTTAAAAAATTTAAAGTTAAAAGTTAATTGTGAAACTTTTAATGCTATCTACTTGAATTTTTATGAATTTCAGATGTTTGCCTATGAACTTCAGAGCAGAAGATTTAGCTAGTGGTATTCTCCGAGAACGTGTCAAAGTGGGTGCAAGCTTGGCTGATGTTGATCCAATGAACATTGATAAATCAGTAAGTTTTGTAAATGTTTTTCTAGAAGTAACTTTAAAAAAAAATTAAGGTTGTTCCTTGTTTCTAAGGCAACACATAATAAAAATAAAAACCCAGATATCATCATTATTAGTGTTTTGATGTATGTGTTTTGGAACCTAGCACTCTGGTCACAGGTGATACTTAAGTCCCCCCCGCCCCCCCGTATCAGTGATACTGGCGTATATAATAAAAATGGGTAGGAAATGAGGCTGACAAATATGGCAAGGCCCATAAACCATGATATGTAGTAGGGTATTGTTGAAGCTGCTTAGATTTCATGATCAGATTTACATTTTAGATGGAGCACTCTGATTCTGATGTAGTTAATGAAGGGAAGCAAGGCTGGCATTAGGGAGACTGGTCTGGAGATAGTTGTAACATAGTAATTTGGAGTAATGGTCATGGTAGGGTAATGATGGAAAGAAGTAGATGGATTTGACAGAATTCAGGAGAGAATTTGGTTGGATGGAATTGGGTGAATTTATTGCTTTTGGGGAATGAAGGAGAGAAAAAAGTTGAATGTATGACCTAGGTTTCTGGCTTAAGTGACTGGGTGGGATCTACTCTGATGTAGGGAACATTAGAGAAAATGTTTAGAGGGGTTACGATGATTTAGTTAGTTGTAGACAGGTTTAGGTGTCCATGGCACATCACAAATGGAAGTAACTTGTAGGAAATTAGTTAGGTTTGGCCTTAAGGGGAACTATATGGGCTACAAATTCAGATATGGGTGTCAAATATAAAGATAGTTGAGATCACTATGCGAAGTGGGTTATAGTACCCAGGGAAAGTTTGAAAAGAAAGGCAAGATTTAGAGGATGTCATAGATATTTACTGTTACTAGAATCTTTCTAGGGAGTGTATTTTGGAATAGGTTACTGCCCAACTAAGATCATATTAGATTTTTTTTTGTTCCCGTAAACGTTTCTATATGACATAATTTAACTGATTCTCATATGACAAACTTAAGTTACCAATGGAGTTGTGTATATATTTGAAAATGAAATGTTATCTCTTCTCAATGTGAAGTCATAGGGGAAAATATTTAAATATTTATTTTAACTAGGACTTTAGAGTATTGAATTCCCAGTCTCATATCTACTAGTGTACATTCTCAGAGGACCTTACTTAATATTCTTTGCTTATTTTGTTGACCAGCACCTTACTCTCTTGAATCAGTTAACTTTAGATGTCTCTGCCATTTATTTAGAGTAGTATTTTTAAAAATTTGATATCATATACAAATACGGTTTTTCTTATTTAAACTCTGTGTTTATTTTTCTAGATTACTTAAGTTTTTTTTTTTATCATAGTAACATTTCATTTTGAAACATTTTCAAGTACTGTAACAGAATAAAGATACAGGGGGAGGCGGTTACTGTTAACATTTTGGCAGTATTTCCTTCAAGCACTTTTTTCTGTACAATGTTTTACTCTACAAAGTCTTTTAGGTATTTAAACTGTTATGGACGGGAGGAATAATCTCTCTTGTTTCTTTTTTAAAAAAAAAAAATTTTTTTTTTTTAACGTTTATTTATTTTTGAGACAGAGAGAGACAGAACATGAACAGGGGAGGGTCAGAGAGAGGGAGACACAGAATCTGAAACAGGCTCCAGGCTCTGAGCTGTCAGCACAGAGCCCGACGCAGGGCTCGAACCCACAGACCGCGAGATCATGACCTGAGCTGAAGTCGGCCGCTTAACCGACTGAGCCACCCAGGCGCCCCTAATCTCTCTTGTTTCTTATGGTAGGTCAGTGTTTCTTAAATCACTTTTTCATTGTTGTCTCCTAAGGAGAGAAATTAAATTTCTATATAGATAAATTAATATTAAAGAATAAGACATGGGGTGCCTGGGTGGCTCAGTTGGTTAAGCATCCAACTCTTGGTTTTGGCTCAGGTCATGAACTTACAGTTTGTGAGTTCGAGCCCCACATTGGGCTCCGCACATAGCCTGCTTGGGATTCTCTCTCCCTCTCTCTCTGTCTGTCCCCCACTTGTTCTCTCTCAAAATAAGTAAATAAATTTAAATTTAAAGAAATTAAAAAAAATGGGGTACCTGAGTGACTCAGTCGGTTAAGTGTCTGACATCAATTTAGGTCATGATCTCACGGTTTGTGGGTTCAAACCCTGTGTCTGGGTCTGTGCTGACAGCTCAGAGCCTGGAGCCTACTTCAGATTCTGTGTCTCCCTCTCTCTCTGCCCTTCCCCCATTCACACTCTGTCTCTCTGTCTCTGTCTCTCAAAAATAAAATAAAAACATGAAAAATATTTTTTTTAATTAAAAAAAAATTAAGACTTGGGGGCACCTGGGTGGGTCCGTAGGTTGAATGTCTGACTCTTGATTCCGGCTCAGGTCATGATCCCAGGGTTGTGGGATCGAGCCCACGTTGGGATCTGTACTAAGTGTGGGGACTGCTTAGGAAATTCTCTCTCTCCCTCTCTCTGCCCTCTCCCCTACTTACATGGGCTCTCTCTCTTTAAAAAAAAAAAAAAAAAGAGTAAGACTTGGTTTTATAAAGTTGAGCTTTGGAGGGTCTCAAACCATTGTAGTAGCTAAGATGTTTTTCACCCTACTTCTAAATCAGTTTTTGCTCCCTTAGGGACAGTATTGCCTTTGCTGCCAATGCATGTGATAGATGGTATTTTGAAAGGCATTTAAATTATTAGAGTATAAATACAATTTATCATCTCCTCTAGATACCCATTAAAGTGTTAGATTGGACATTAATCTTGTCCTTAGTTACTAGGAGATTAAAGAATGGTAGCTTTATTTAGCTGAACTGAAATGTAAACTTGAATTTTACTGCTGACTTTATTTTTCTGCACTCCAGAAGTGTAATTTTGTGAACTTTATGTTCAACAGTTCCTGCTGAAGGCATGTATTTCTGAATCATAAGACAATCTCATAAATTAAAAAAAATCTTTAGTAGTTAAAATTATTTTATATTGAACTTTTTCCCTTCTTCCCAAGGTGCGGTTTGATAGTATAGGTGGATTGAGCCATCATATTCATGCACTGAAAGAAATGGTAGTATTCCCACTTCTATATCCAGAAATCTTTGAGAAATTTAAGATTCAGCCTCCAAGGTAAGTAATGTCCTAGATGTTTATTATTGTTATTACTGTTAATTTATCAAATTTCAGTTAGTAAATGATTATAAATATAAATATTTCATATGTATTGATTTGATGTGTTCTAGCAAGGAGAATTAGGAATGAAATTTTATTAATTAGGGTTCAAAGGCTGTGGTAGTAAGTGTATCCTTGAAGTTTACATTTCAGCATTTAAATGTCGGGTATAAGATCTAAATCTCTGCGCAGGCCTTGAATATACAAGTGGATTGCCCAAATGGATTTTCCATAATTTGGCCTCCAGATAGCATGGAGTTTGATGCTGTATGTTGTTTAGTCTTTGGAAACACAATTTCAGTTAAGTGTATATGTGACTTGATGCTAGTAGTTTTGAAATGGTAAGCTTTTTTTTTTTTTTTTTGGGATCGAGCCCAGGATCTCTGTACTAAGTGTGTAAGGGACACCGCCCAAATTCTCTCTCTCCCTCTCTCCTGCCCTCTCCCCACTTACATGGGCTCTCTCTCTCACTTTAAAAAAAAAAAAAAAAAAGAGTAAGACTTGGTTTTTTATACTCAAAGTTGACTTTGAATTCTAAACCATTATGTGTGCTAGCTAAGATGTTTTTCACCTACTTCTAAATCAGTTTTGCTCCCTTAGGGACACTGTGTTACACTTCTACAATGCATGTGATAGATGGTATTTTGAAAGGCATTTAAATTATTAAGTATATTACAGTATCTCTCTTCTCTAGATCCCAATAGAAGTGTTAGATTCTAGACATTAATCTCTCCCACTCTTAGTTACTAGGAGATTAAGAATGGTAACGCTGAGCTGAAATAACCAACTTGAATTTTGCTGACCTGCACTCCGAGGTACTGTGGCTGTGAACTTTACCACCAGCTTGGTTCTACTGAAGGCATGTATTTCCCACACAAATGCTGGAACAATCTCATAAATTAAAAAAATCTTTTTGACAATTTAAAATTATTTTTTTTTATATTGGTTTTTTCCCTTCTTTATTCCAAGTCTTGGGTTTGTATTGCAGTATGACGTATGGAGTGGTTTGACCATCACATATTCATGCACTGAAAAGAAATATTCCCACTTCTATGTATCCAGAAATCTTTGAGAGAATTTAAGATTCAATACTTTCAGTGATAAATATTAATCCTAGAATGGCTGATATTATTGTTATTACTATACCCCCAATTTATAAATTTCAGTTAGTAAATAATGATTATAAATATAAATATTTCATGTATTAGTTTTGAGTATGACTCATTTCTAGCAAAAGGAGAGGAATTCAGGAATGAAATTTTATTAATTAGGGTTAAAAGGAAGCTTTCAGCTGGTAATGGCATCCTTGAAGTTTTATTTCGGCATTTAAATATGGACGCAAGATCTAAATCTCTCTCCTTGAGGAGCCTTGAATATACAAGGTGGATTACTTTATGGATTTCCATAAATTTGGCCTCAGATAGCATGTGGGTTTGTTGCTGTATGTTGTTTGTAGTCTTGGAAACTTTACAATTTCAGTTAAGTGTATATGTGACTTGATGCTAGTAGTTTTGAAATGGTAGC